TGGGTCAAGATCATGACATCACTCCACGGAGATAAAACGCTTCCCATTTCCCTTCCCGTAATAAGGGGCCAATAAATGTACGCGTGCCTCGAACTTAACTAATGTCTGATGGAATATAGATATTATATGTTCCACAATAAAGATGAGTTTCATTTAATACGACAGATAAAATACGGACAACTGTCTCAATTATATATGTTGTAGTCCCATTTTTTATATTAATATTGTTCATTTTTATTCTTGTTTCTGAAGTGAATTAGAGGGCACAGAAATAGCTTAGTACCTACTGAGTAATACCAACGCATGTGAAATAGAACTGTAAATAATCTTTATTCAAATAAACTTAATATAAGATTTTTTTAATAAAAAATATTACTTTTTCTACCACTAATTCGGAAAGTAGACTCATCATAAGAAAAACTGGAAAGAAACTTGCGTGTTGGTCTTTTAAATAAATATCTAATAGTAATATTCCTGGACAATTCACAAAGCGCCATCTTGTCCCAAGTTAAGCAGAGCTTGTGTTATGAGTATTATACGAATTATATAAATACATAGATACATTACATACTTGATGGATTGTTAGCGATGGGAACTAATAACTCCTATTGTTAGCAATGTACCATGTTAGGTCGACCTCCACGTGGTTGTCCCTGGAAACTATCGTGATGAATTCTTGGTGAATTTGTCACGATGCGCTAACTGACCTAACCTCATGCTCATCTTATCATCCTCCACTGGTGCCGCGCCAGCGTAAACCGTTAGTGCAGGCGGGTGCACCGTTCCATTATCATATATCGATAATAGCAAATAAACACAAAGAGACCCTACTAAATTAAAAATGCCACCGTGTAGAACTAACTTGCATAAAATTAACTCACACGTCAGCTCCATACAAATATATAATAAAATACCACAGGTAATTCTAGAGATGCCGTTAAATAGATTTAAAAAAGAATTACACCAATGGCTCGTTAAAAATGCTGTTACTCTTTGCGAGAATTGACCTGACATTTAATATTCTTATTTATATTAGGCACATTGATTGAAGTAGAAAAAGTATAATCCATCACATTTAAAATAAGTATTGTTGCTAAGTAACAGTTTGTATGTAACGTGCAACTGCAATCGGAACGAAGTAAATTATATTTACAACTGTATACGTAATCCACTCAATATCTCTATCAATTTATAATGTAATTTAATTGTAAAAGTAATTGTTATGAATTGTAATTTACATGCCCCCTGAATATGAGGTACTATTGTTGCAAATGTAAGCAAATAAATTATCTATCTATCTACACAAAAAAAAAATACAAACAATCAGGTGGGAAGGGGATTGTTCGTATTGCGGACTGATGATCTTATTGCTAACAATGTAACATAGTATGTCAGGTTGATCAACACGCGGTTCCCCCTGGAAACCATCGTGGTAAATGTTAAATTCTTGGTGAATTTGCCACGATAGGCTAACTGACCTGACCTCATGCTCATCTTATCATCTGCCAGTTTAAACTGTTAGCGTAGGTGGGTGCACCATTCTATTATCATACATAAAAAAAATTAAGCAATCATACTATTGGATACAAATGATGGTATGGCGAGGAAACGAATCCATAGACCATTGGAAGTAAGTGTGCTAAACCGTTAGACAACTGTCTATAAATATCCATCAAGCATTTCGACGGTTTGATTGTCTTTCTATTTAAAAAAAAATATTATATACGATAGTCTATGTTCAACGGTAATATTATTAACTTTTAAATTGTCTGAAAATCCTTTAGGTCCCTGTACCCGTTGTAAGCACAGATTATTATATTAGAGCCCGTTAGTTCCTGTCCCCTCTCTCACTTTTATCCCTTACCTTTGAAAGAAACTACATATCGACCTTCAACGTGCACGCATTTTACCTAATTATAATAAAATTAATTATAAACTGAGTGTGAAACTAGTGTGTGAACTGTTAAAGCTAGTGAAATATAACCTGGATATTGGCCCGTGTTAAGGAGCCCAGGAAACCCGATCAGGAGTAAACAGGCATGAGACGCTTCCACATTACAGTATTTTCCCATACACTTTAAATAGATTATCTTGGCTCGTCCATGAGACAGCGAACGACATATGATTATGATACGTCATCCTCAGCCACCCTTGGTTCTCATCCTTTCACTTCATATTTTATTACATCCAGTTTTATGAAAATAATTTTCCACCAAAAAAAAGGTACAATGGAAAAGTACAAGTTACCCACAAAAGTTTAACTTTGTTCCGGACAATGTATATCCCTGATTTTATGTAACTTTGATTGTTTTGTTCAGTTACGATCTTTTTTCATGAGCAAACTTTCGCTCCCAATACGGCTGTTGTTTTACGATATAAAAGATTTCAGTCAATTTAAACTAACTCCACATCTAAATATTAGCATGTCTAATGTTGTTTTAGGCTATATTATAATTAAACAATATTAATAGGAAGCGAAATTTTAATTAACAGAAAATATTCCAGAAACATTTTGCCACGCTCTACCACATTTTGGAATCACGTTCCAGCGATGGCATTTCCGAACCGATATAATATTTAAAATTTCAAGAAAAGAGATATTCGTTACTAAAATACCAGTAACGTACTGTAGGAATTGTTAGTAATGTGGACTAATAACCCCATTGCTAATGCACCATGGCATGCTGATCTCTACGCGGTTCCCCCTGGAAACCACCATGATATTTTCCTGATGACTTTGACACGATGGGCTGACTAATGTGACCTCATCCTATCATTGTCTACTAGTCCCCGCCAGAGTATATTGTTAACGCAAGCGCATGTACCAGTCCATTCAAATAATAAATAATAATAACCCAAAATAATGTACACAGAGTCATCTAGTCCTAAACTAAGCATAACTTGTGTTATGGATACTAGACACTTGATATAAATATATAGAAAATAGCTAGACCAATACAACCCCTCCAATTCAAACGGGGATCGAAATTACGACAGCCTGAGCCTCGGCTCTGAACCGAACTAGCGGTGCCCTCAGACTAAAGTCGTATCCGTCAGGCGGGAGTTGGCCTTCAGCCGCTCCTGTCCTTCCGCGGGTTTGGAGTGCCATCTGCACTTCCCCTATCCGGTGAAGCTGTAAAGGCCAGCTGCGGCCAACAGAATTAGAAATACATATAAGCACCATGATATAATATCAGCATTATATACATGACAAGCTTTTGCCCGCGGCTTCGTTCGCGTTAATTTATCCCCTTAGGGGTGAAATTTATCAAAATCCTTTCTTAGGGGATGCCTACGTCATAACATCTACCTGCATGCTAAATTTCAGCCCAATCCGTCCAGTGGTTTGGGCTGTGAGTTGATAGATCACTATGTCAGTCATCTTTGAGTTATATATATTTAGATTAGAAAAATATAGATTCATTTGACGACCTCGGTGGTCTAGCGGTCCAGTTTACCGCTTTACGACCGATGGTCGCGAGTTCGATTCCTCGCACGGCACAAACATTTGTATTCATAAGTATGATTGTTTGTATCGGTCTGGGTATTTTCTATGTATAATATGTATGTATTTACGAAAAAAAAATATATCTATGTATTAGTATAATGTTTTTATTTAAATGTCAAAAACTTTCTATGTTGATTATCGCAGTTGTCTAGGACCCATAACACAAGCTTTAGCTAGCTTAACTTGGGTCTAGATGGCGCTGTGTGAATTGTCCTGAGATTATTATTATTATTATTTTTCAATTAAATTAGGAATGACGTAGGGACCACCAGGATATCCTATTGCATTTTTGTCAAAAGGAAATATATTAATAAGTGATAGTAACCCAAAGTGACCAGTCTACACAAGCAGCACCCGTTCACGAGTATGAACTTAAGGTATACAATATATCGTCACGAAATTTTCATTTTTTTCGTTTTCCTATAAGAATATGAATCTGTATCGTCATATATACGTTTACAAATACATAAAACACCCAACAGAGCGCTTTGTACCGTGGGCGGGGAATGTTATATCCCCAATGTTGAGAAATAATATATTTTTGTTATAAAGAATACCGCGGAACTGTGTATATACTGTAATTGAAAGAAATACGGAACTTGTTGTACTCGGATTTTATATATACCTCTATCATTTATAATAGAATAGAATAGAAAATAATTTATTCAATTAAACTTACATTGAAGCACTTTTGAATAGTCATCAAATTTTTACAATCTACCGCTCATTCGGTAAGCTGTTTTATTACAAGAAGAACGAGCAAGAAACTTGCGTGTTGCTCTTTTAAATATTTTGTTGTTACTTTACATTTTTAAATTTAAGTGTGTGAATACAAACTACTCACTAGTAACAATGTAGTTACTACCAGTTTGTTTATTTGAAGCCTCACATATGGTAGTGAAATTATTTTTGTATATTATTGTACTGTATTTAATTTTTTTTTTAAAAAAGCGATTTTTCGCTACTTATTTAATTTGGTCGGTCCCGCCATTTTACGATACAGACTCTGTTTCTGTAAAATGCACAGAGTACGCTGTAAACATCTATGACAAACTTTAAAGATAAATTAGACCAAAGACAATATATACTACAATTATGTATATTTTTATAATATAAAAATATATCTAAGTGTCTAGTACCCATAACACAAGCTCTGCTTAGCTTGAGGCTAGGTCCTATATCCTGAGATATTGTTATCAAGATTTATCAACAATCGCATTATATGTATAAACAAAATAAAATAAGATCTTAATAAATGCTATTGTATTCAAATAAAGAATAAATACATTAGGTATTGTTATTTACAACAAGAAAAAAATTTATGCAACCTCTTTGCTACATCGTAATTTATGACTAAAAGAAATATAGAACTCTCATATTTAAATATGTCATTCTTAACTTAAACATTGGCGCGAAAATGCAATTCCCTTTACAATAGAGCAAAATATTTGTTTTTTTTACATCAGAACAAAAGTAAAAACGCAATACTCACTTTATAAACATACAAATGCCAGTCTTCTCCATAGCTCTCGAGATTCCCTTCCACGATGCCAACATGGAATATTTCTGTTTGGCAGTCAACGGCAGCCGAGGATCGGTAGCTGGAGGCGGCCCATCCGCCAAGCTCGGGCCGGGATTGGCGCATCTCTGGCGCTCTGACGCCGCTAGCTTACCCAATTTGCAGCCCATTTTGCACTAAATTTCCATAATTTCACCACAACACTATATTATACATATTTATTATGAATTAACACCGCACCGTCATTTTCGTGCACTTGAAAAACATTTCTATTTTTAAATAGCAATATTTATATCACGTAATCATAGTTAATTATTATTCCATTTATTTATTTATAAGAATTTATTTGTTAAAACTGTTAACTAAATCACTTTGTTACAAATAGTTGTTATATGCACTACGTACATACCGTTAACTGAATCAATAGTGAGTGTGATTTAACACTATTCCACAGTCCTAGTTACATATTTACTATCTTATCTAATCTGCCGACCTTCGTGGTGCTACCTGTAAGAAAAAAAATATTATTAAGTTTGTTTATTCTGTCTGCATATAATAGTAGTTAGTAACAGATATTATATTATCTGTGGTAATAGTTACGATGATAAATGTTGATAAATTCTAATTCAAATTTAAAAATCATTTTCATTGTATTATAATTTTTTCCCTAACATCCATTTCATTATACAGATTCAATTGAGAAGAACTGGCAAGAAACTCAATTGGATTTCTTATTTTTTTAAATTAGATTATTTACAATATTTACTTATATAGGTGTCTATGTTTGCCATTAAATGAAAATCCCATGCATGAACAACTATTGCCATGCGCGCTCGTCATTCAAGTAATCGTTTTAGTGAGTAATAATTTGCCCAGTAAATATGATAAATAATTTTTATATTTTTTTACACATGCGATTGAAATGGCAAACAATCTGACGGTCCAACTAATGGTAAGAGAGAATATGATGATGAACAGCACCACGGATATCACGTTATCATGTGACACCCGTGATAGCACTCATGCGTTGCCATTACAGAGAATTACGATGTCATGCCTCTCATCCTGTAATTTCACTGCTTAATCGCATTACAATCAAAACTCAGCTTGTAATCTGCTGTTTGGTGGTAGAAATAGTCGAGACTGAAGTTCCCACACAGATTACTTATTACAGTATACCTCTGATAAATAAATAAAAATAGTTATTAATGATTTATAATAATGAAACGTCGTGGTCTAGTAAATTATTATACCGATTTAGAACTATAGGTCTTGACTTCAAATCTGGGCTACATCAAAACAGTTTGAGTGCAGTTTGACAGAGTGAATACAATATACTAATTTACTTTTTTAATTTTATATTTATATTATGTATGATGTATGTATATTGTATATGTATTTATATTATGTGTATATGATATATGATATATTACTATTACTATTTATGTCTATATTCATTCCATCTTACGCCATCCACCAGCATCTGTCTTTTCTTCTCTACCCAAAGGTTGTCTGGAAGAAATCGCTTTAGCGATAAGACCGCCTTTTGTACCTAGCCTACCTTTCTGTATACTATGAATATTGTTTTTTTTTTATTTTTTTAAGATGAAATAAAGAGTTATAAATAAAAAAAATGTATATATATATTTTTTTATTGGGGTTTTGGGCTATTGTCAGGTGCTAAGACCTGTAAGACTGTGACCTGTATAGCTCTATTGTGCTCGCCCTTATTCAAAGTTCGCTACTTAAACCCGTCGGGGGACAAAAATCGAAGGATATTCTTAGGAGCGATGGTTTTTATCTTCTCAGGGTATAGTGTATACTTTCCAAAGTGGAATAGTTGTATAGTGGAATTTTCTCTTCTGTTTGGAAAATCTGCAGATTTTAATGAAATATAATTGTATATCCTTACAATTAATATATATGTTCATATAAGTACTAATATTATTATAGACTAGCTGCACTCGCGACTTTGTCTGCGTGGAATTTAACTTATTTTTCTAAAATAAAAGTAGCCTATGTTACTCCTTATTAGATCAGCTACCTGCCAAAAAAATCCCGTCAAAATCGGTCCAGACATTGCAGAAATTAGCTGGAATAAACAGACTGACAAAAATGGTAAAAAATGTTATTTTGGAGTATGTATGTACGTATTTATATTTATATGCATGTAATAAAAAACGGTTATTTCAATGTTACGAACAGACAATCCAATTTTATTTATAGGTATAAATGTATAGATAATAAGTTTAGTATATATACATACTATAGACAGTTATGAAAGCATGACGTGAGTCGTGACTGACGTTGTGTACTTACGTCACTTGGGTAACACTATCCAGCAAACAAACTCAAAGTGGAATGTGTATCTATACAAAATAACTTGGTTTTAACCTATAAGGTTTTAATACTACAGTTATTTTTTATTCTACAAAAAAAAGATCTGAGAAAATGTTTACGACACCGAAGTGACATGAAACGATTGAGAAAAAATATTCAAAATCTTTTGATATTTTCTATTGTTTTATACTTCAGACGTTTTTCATGTTGTGTACTAATTTGGTTTGTATAAATGCGTATTTTGTGTGACATTGTCACGAATACCTTTTAAAAGATAGATAATAAGTAATGTAGGATGACTAGGGTGACAATTCTTTTATCAATTCGTAGCAATAATCGTTATATTTGTTTATGTATATAATTAAAATTGTAAACAAACTGTCGACCCACGTGTTGGTGAGTGGTAATAGTTGCATATGTACGCTCATGTACGCTCTATGCAATCCTACAAATCTTCATGGATTAGGACCATAAGCATAGTGAGCTTCCATTAAGTGTAATTTGAAAGCCCATTAAGTTTTTCTACAGCCGGAGCAACAGCAGAATTCATACTCGCCATTCTTCTTCAAACTACAATTTCAAACTTATTTCTCCGAACATATCACCAGAAATGTATATTAAATAAAAATTTATTATATGTAACGGTCTGCTACCATATTGGAGAAAAATATTATTAAAGCAAAAAAAAAGAACTGGGAGATATTAGTATAATTGTAATACAAGAAGTTGAGTGGCGATCGACATCAAAATATTAAAAATTTAGGTTACATGCTACAACAAACAGTATCATGCGTTGTCTATCTTGAGGACTAAGATATTAAGCCTCCTGGACTTCACTGCCATATCTCACCCAATAATAACAACAAAACACAGCTTACAAATCAAACTGCTTGGCGCCGCAGATAACTTTCTAAAAAGTCTATATTTAATGAATTATCATTGTAGCGAACTATTTGCTTAGTTTTTATATTAATTTTAAATTTTATAATCATATCCTTTAACATATTCTTTTTTGTTACTTTCTACTATATATTGCTGTCATATTAGACGCATTTCATTTATCTCCGTATTTTCCTCATTAAACCTCAGTACCTCTCACTCATCAGACACATTAGATACCTCCACTTAAATAATGGTTATAAGAATTTGTTTCAACATGCTTCAACAACGTAGAATCTTAATCTGAATTGTGAATTCATATTCCTCGACTGCCCATCGAAAAACAAGACTGTCCCGGTCAAAACTGGATGTACGGTCACATCAGTTGTGACGTGACAACTTCAAAAGTGGCAATTGTAATGTAAACTAGGACGTCTGACATTGAGGTTGTCAATTTAAATTTCAGATATTTTTAAGAGTGTTTGTGTGACTTCATTCATTTTAATGTTATTCTGTGACATTGTTGTCTTATTGTTGTTTTATATTGTAGTTCTTAAGCGAATGTGATGAAACATGGTTATATTATTTGTTAAGATTTGAAGTCTTTTGTTGGTTCATATCATACAAATTACTTAAGTTAATTCACGCTACGACTGACATGCTGTAAGCAGAGGATCTGAGAGATTAAAGAGACGTGAGATTAAATATTAACACAATTTTCTTTCCTATGCATGAGAATATATATATATATATATTTTGTCAACTAAATTCTAAATACAGAAATGTTATACTAATTCTTATGGAAGCTTTGAACAAAGTCGTCTGTATGTACATATCTGCCTCACCTCCTCCGATTGATTCCATATCCAATTCAAATTGGGATCGAAATTACGGAGGCCCTGGTCCAAGTTCTAACCCTTAATGGTGCCCTCAGACTAAAGTCGTATCCGTCAGGCAGGAATTGGCCCTCAGCCGCTCCATAACTCCTTATACGGGTATATTTGGAGTACCATCTGTACTCGCCCCCTATCGTTTGGTGAAACTATAAAGGCCATTGAGGAAAGTTCAGCATAGCTCCGGTATGGAGTTTGAGAAATGGCAATATAAAACAACATGGTCAGGAATAGCAACATTTGGTTGTTGATGATATTGAAGTATATAAGCGGCTGTTCCTTCAGCTCCCTTTTCCTCTTTATTTAAAAGAGCAACAACAGTTCTTCTAAATAATCTTCTTCTGATAAGTCTACTTTCAGAATTAGCGGTAGAATTATAAAAAAACGTTATGTGACTATTCAAAAGTACTTATTTGAATAAAGATTATTTCTGAACAATTTAAAATTTTCCACGAATCAAACCTACTAGTTGGTTGTTTTATAATTTAGCACAGACTCTAGTGTATTGAGAGTATTGCTTATATTGTGAAGGATGTACAGTTTTATTTATAGATGAGACCTCAACATTTTCTCACAGTTTGTACTGGCAGGTCTGCTCCCAGGAGGTTAGTCCCAGCTCAGGGTTGCCAACCATAGAGGAATACCGAATACAAAAACTTGAGAGTAGTAGTATGAGACATACTACTACTCTCAAGTTTTTGTATTTGAAAATGAAGTATGACCACTGGCTTAACTAAATAAATAGTAATTTCAATTAATACCGCTTGTAAAGCAAGCTGTTTGGTAACTGTGATTAGAGAGACAGAGGCACTGACACTGACGACATTGTTAAAAACACCTCAGTAAGTACTTTCATATTAAGATAAAAATAAACCATTTTTTTTTAACCTGCATTCCCATTCGTAATATCTATAAAGAGATTTCATTTTTAATTTTGACAACCCTGGTCCCAACCGAAGCAGTGGAATCAGTTATACCACGTTGGATTGTAATAATGTTTTACATTATTGATGTCAAAAGAGGCATTTGGTCCTTTTTAGAAGGAATTCCAAATATGGCGACGTCCCGACTGATGGAAAGTTAGGCACCGTCGGCTATAAATAAACTTGGACAAGAGGTACCATTCTAATAATAACACTGGGCAATTTACACAGACAAACTAAGTAAAGCTAGTATTGTATGTATTGAAACTGCTTGAAATACTAAAATAGATTTGTATACATTGTGTCGAATTAGATGTTATTTTCAGAAGTCTAATTCATTACTTAATAGATTAATATTATTTTCTTTAATTCCACTACCATTAGCTTGTGTTAGACCTCAAATATTTAATGCAGAGACTTGTCCACCGCTACTTGATAGTCGCAGTTTGGTCGCCGAATAGTCGACACTAGG